CGTCGTGGGCAGGGCCTCGGAGGAGGCGGAGCGAGGCACCAGGGTCCCCGCCTGGGCTCTGCGCCTTCCGCCCCCGGCCGAGCTCTGAGGGCTGCTGGAACTCCACGAGGAGCAAGGTGGGGAGTCTGTGGCTCCGCCCTGCACCCCAGTACACCCTATGGCACACCCAGCCCAGGGTGCAGCCTCTGAAGCACCCAGGCCGGTGGATTCCTGGACTTGGAGCTGAGAGAGGGGCTGGCCCGGGGCCAGGCAAGTGTCCTTGGGGGTGACCTTTGGGACGTCCTACCCCGGCTTCCCGTTGGAGTCCAAGTCTGAGTTTCCTGCCAGGGCCTGAGACCTTGGAAAGTCTGCGGAGGGACAGAGGGACAGAGGGACGGACCGTCTGGCGAGGAGGAGGGGCCAGACCGTAACAAAAGAGCCTGCTGTTGCTCCTGGGCGCCTCTGGCCAGCGGACCTCACCCAGTGCTTTAGCTTCCTAGGCTCCAGGGACTGAGCAGCCTCCCTGAGCTGCTTCTGCTGCTTCTGCTGCTGAGCTTGAAGCGACAAGGCCGGGGCCCAGTGGTGGCCGTGGTCTGGCAGAAAGGGTGGCCAGGCAGCCCCTGCTCCAGTCTGAACGGGGCCTGGGCCTAGTCACAGGGCAGAGCTTAGGTTCTGGACCTGCCCCTCCCCTCCCCAGCCTCAGTTTCCACAGCTGAGCACCCGTCTGAGGGAAGGCAGCTGTGCTGGGCTCAAGGAGGACCAGACGGGACACTGTCTCCGAGCCTCCTCCCCGGAGTGGGACTGCCGTGGAGACACGGTCCACCCACCCCCCACTCATCGGGCCGCCTCATGGCCATGGCGAACCAGTCTTGTTATCTTCCGGGTGGACAAGGCCTGCCCTTCCTCTCCCTGTTCCTCCTTGGCCTCCACTGGCTCCCTGCAGCACAGGGTCCGTGCCCCGGCCCCCAGATGAGCACTCGTGTGCAGCCCGTGGACCCCCTGCCCCTGAGCCTCCTGCAGCCTGGGAGGGTCCTGTTCACCACACTCGTGTGCAGGGACGCAGACTGACACTCCCTACTCTAGGGGTGCACACGTGTGGGCCTGTGATTCAGGAGACACCAGGACTCACACGCAGATACACGTGTTCGTCATCCACTGGGCCAAGGGTACAAGCCAGCACACGCCCGTGCACACACAGGGCTGACCCAGGCCGGGCCTGGACTTGAGCTATTCTGGGCCAGGCCTGGGGCCAATGAATTTAGCCACAGCCAACTCCCAGCAGGCCCCAGCGGCTGTGTCTCTCGCCTGGCCAGCATCACCCCCACTCTGGCTGAATCCCTGCCACCCCAGACCCCAGTCTGGCTCTGTGATGGGGAGATCCCCACTGCCTCCCAGAGATAAACCTTGAGCCCCAGGACTTCTGGCTGGAGGTGGTTCCCAGGGTCCCCTGACCACTGCCCACTGCCTAGCTATCGGTTCCAACCCAGAGGCCCTGGAGGCTGGGCTGGGTCCCTACAGGAAACCCACAGGAGCTAAGAATAGCACAGGAGGAACAAGCAGCATTCTGCAGCCAGCATTCGGGCCACTGTGCACGAGGATATGCTGACACCCAAGCTCCCCTCCCCAGGCTGGCTGGACCCCTCTGGGGTACCCAAGTATAGACAGGACAGACAGTAGCTGCAGGCCGCAGGCTGTCAGAGGCCCCACTTTCTGGGTGACCTCAGGCAGGGCACAGCGCCTCTCCAGGCTGGTTCCCTCAGGAGGAAATGGGATGGAAATGTTGCACCAAGTGCTGAAAAGCCCTCCAAGGTGTGAAAAACTTTAGCTTTCAGGATGTATTTATTTATTTGGGTTTTTTTGGACACAGGGTCTATGTAGCCCAGGCTGGCCTTGACTTCCTAGTGATTCTCCTGCCTCAGCCTCCTGAGTGTGGGGAATACTGGCATGCACCAGCACGCCTGGGTTCAACATTATTTAATACTAGAGAATTGGAAACAGCCAAGTGCCCAAAACAGGGCATTGTCTGAACAGGCGCTGTGTGGATTGTAAGTGGTGTGATGCTACACAACCTTTAACAGCAGCGAAGACAACAATCACAACATTTCACAGGGCTGCGATTTTGTGGTTAGATCCCTTTTGCAGGTAAAGGCCGCAGCTCTGGGGGTCTAGGCTGACCCTGCCCCAGAGGTTACAGGGCAGTTTTAACTTTAATAACTTCAGAAGTTGTGAGAGGACAAAGAGGGGAGAGAGGGAGGAAAACAGGACTGAGATGCACGCAGCAGCTTCCCACGAAGAACTGGATCACAGTGTACCGCAAGTGTGGGCCAACAAAAATAGAAATTGAAAGAAGTTAGGAAGAATAAAGCTACAGTTTTCTCCCAGGTATCGGAAATTGAACTCAGGACGTTGTGCTTGCCAGGCAGGTGCACCCGGTGCCGCTGAGCCATAAAGCTACACGTTTAGGGTCAGGAATTTAGCTCAGTGGTGCTGCCACCTGCCTCGCTACTGCAAAGACCTGAGTTCAATCCCCAGTACCGAAAATAAATAAACAAATAAAGGTATGCATTTGCAAGGACCACTATTTGATAGTCTGATATTTAAATTTTCTTTATGCTAACTAGATTATGTGATGTTTGAAGAATTAAAATTTTTTGTCTTGTTTTCTTTTGCTTTTGTTTTGGTTTTATTTTGTCAGCAGTACTAGGGATTGAACCCAGGCCCTTCGTGCTGACCTACATCCCAGCTCTTTTTTCATTGTGAGACACTAAGTTGCTGAGTTGCCCAAAATTGGAATTTGTGATCCTCCTGCCTCAGCCTCCCAGAGTGCTGGGATTACAAGGTAATTTCAACAGTTCTTTTCAGAAATTTCAATAACCAAACATTCAAATGGTGCTTCTTGTAAATGTATAGTTTTGTACTCTTGAAGTTATTGAAAAACTGAACTCTGACTTTCAGAACACCCTGTTATTTCAGAATGAGTCAGTTTGACCCAAATGCTCTGTGACAGAACTATATTTGACCCTGGAGGGGCAGCTTTTGACCCCAAAACAGAAGAGTGAGGCAGGGCGGACCTGCCCCAGCAAACCCACTCCTGCGTTGGCAACGCTTTGTTGGGGGCAGAGGAAAAGGGCCAAGCTGCGCATGCGCAGAAGGGTGAGAGCGCCGACCGGCACGGCGTCGCTGACGTCATTTCCATGCCGGGCAAATTTTCCAAAGCTGCTTCTTCCTGTGAGGGACTTGGTCAACTTTCCCTAGAGGCCCTTGTGTTTTTACATAGCTGGTTCCAGCGTCCGGCGCAAAACATCCCGGCCCTAGGAGCTGGGACCTGTGATAAGGCTATTCACAAGAGCACCAGGTGGGGACAGAAAAAAGAAGAAAGAAAGAAAGAAAAAGGAAACGTACCTGATCCAATGGATAATAGGCCAAATTAGCCTGGTGGTATAGTTTGGGACGAGACATTTCACAAATATTTTATATTTATTTAATCTCGATTAAGTCACTAAGTGGCTGGAACTCGTTATTCTCCCTCCTCAGCCTCCCAGAGCACTAGGACAAGACGTTTTCAGATGAACAACGGCGATATGCAGTGCTGAGGAGAATCGGAGATACCAAGGGTTCGCTCCATTTCACTCAGCGTCTGACCTCTGCAAACTCAAGCAAAAACTCAGCGTTTTTAGCAGAAACAGTGGCCCCCACAGCCAGGTTCCCTTCACCCCAGCACATGCCAGCCACCCTCACCCCCGTCCTGAGGGTCACCCCCTGGCTGGTCACTGTGGCTCCCCAGCCTGGCCTGGGGCCCCAGAGGTGTGGAGAGACCACAGCTAGGCAGGGCTCCCGTTAGGCCAGGGTGGGCGATCCCAGCCTTCCCGTCCCCAGCTCACCCCAGACCCACTGAGAGACTTCCTACTGGGTCCGCTGGACCTGCGCCTCCAGCCCTGCCTTGACCCTGCCTGTCCAGCCCCACACCTCTGACTGGGGTCCCGTGCTGAGGGGAGCCAGGCCCCTGCTGCACCCCCTGTCCACTGTGTCCTTGATCGGAGACCTGGGCTCTTCCCCAGCACGCAGCAGCTGGATAATGGACCGGGGAGGAGGGTCCCCCACTCCAGGCCCCCGGCCCCCTCCACCCCTGGCTCCTAAGGCTCCCCAGGGCTGGGCTGGGGCTGGAGCCAGAGGGCGGACTGCGCTGGGGTTCAGTGTCCAGGCTAAGTCAGACGGTAGCCCCCCAGCACCCCGGGGGGTGGCCCCCCATGGGGGGACAGAAGATGCCAGCTCCTTCTGGAACCTTCCACAGCACCAGCGGCAGTCTGGAGAGCCATCCTCCACTCGTCCCCCCTCCGGCTCTGGTGTCCAGGGTGACCAGAGCCGCCTCTGGGCAGGAAGCCAATGCAGAAAGCCCAGGACATCCCTGAGCGCCTGTCACCATGGCGATGTGCCTGCTACACACCACCCGACCCAGGTCCAGCGGGGTGTTTTTCAAATTCAGGACATCAGAGTGAAAAGGGCCTCCTAGATCAGCCCCTGCCAACCCCTCCTCCATCCCAGGTGGAGAAACTGAGGCCCAGGAGGGGAAAGGGTGGGTGGAGGGGACACCTGTTGATTAAGGACCCGCCCCCTCCTGTCTGCCTGTGCCCCCCTTTTCCTGGGCCAGGGAGGGGTTCGGAGTCTCATCCCCCAGGAGGGACGGCGGGTGCAGGCGGGGCTGT